GTGTTGCTGTAAGTCATGTAAAGGGGTCATGAGCAAGTAGAGAAACTTAGCTTTCTGTCCTGTCTGTTATATCCATTCCATAAGTATATTTTTAAAAGTCATGTTTTTACCTATGATCCCCTGGATGTTCTGATTCATTTATTCAAATACATCCCCAATAGCTTCAAAAGAAATTGGATCAAACATACTTTTTGCAATAAACAGTTCTTCTGTGCTTCACCAATATTGGACACTGAATTCTGCTTAAAACTATCAGTAGAGCTTAAGGACTAGCTGAAAGGGAATAGAGAGTAGATTGCTCTTCTCTGTCTGCAGCTATATCACCTCAGGTGGTGATCTTTCCAGTCATATTTTCATAAGCTAAGTAGGCTTGGGCTGGGTGCCTGAGCATGCTCTTGTGGGTCACTGTGCTTTTTGGAAATGCCATCTTTTTCATGAGTGATAAAACCATTTGTTAACGATTTTGTGGCATTTTTCCCCCCACAAAATTAAGGGTTTAACCTTGGTGTCCTGCCCAAATTCCAGTTCAGAGGAAAAAACAGTCCTTGCTCCAAAAATTTGCAACTGAAATTGGACAACCAGGACAAATACTGCACTGGGGTGTGATTGCGTGCTGCCCTTCGCAGAGGTGAATGCAAACCTCACAGCCCAGAAAAGGAGAGTATATGAGGGCAGGAGGGGATAGTGGGTAAGACACCTTTTGTGTCTTCTTGATTCCAGAGGGTCCATTCAGCCTTTGGAGGGCTGCCAAAGTCAGGCAGCTCAACCTGACCTACCAGTGAGCAGCTGCACCACCATGAAACACTCTGTAGTGCTATGCTCCCCACCCCTTGTTGTCTTCAAGCCCGGGCCCAGCACACCCATGACATCAGAGCTTGCAAGATAGTGCTTCATAAACCAGCCTGGGAAATTAGTCCCTGCATGGCTCCAGGGCTTCTAGTTTGTGTATGGACCCATAGCCAAAATCACACTACAGATCACTGATGAAGGTGTAATCTCACAGTGCCATTTTTTTTAATTAAATGAATTTTCATTGAAAGGCTTCACGGGGGGGGGGAGGGTGTTTAAAGAGGGATTTTAATGAAAAAGAGGGTTGCTGTTTGGGGGACAAAAGGGAGACCGTTGCAAGCATAGAGGGGAGACTGAAGAAGGTGGCCTCAAGATGAGAATGGGGGAAGCAGCAGTAGACAGGCTGTGGAAAGCACAGGCAAAAGAGGAGGCAGAATTGTACAGAATTTGAACAGGAAGACCATACCAGTGATAGTATCTGAAGTGGGAAGTGACCTGGTCCAAATGACGGGAGAGAAGGGTGATTTTGGTCATAATATTTTGGATGGTCTGGGAAGGCTGCAAGATGATATTCAGAGAAGGCAGAGAGGAGAAAGTTGCAGGAGGCTAGGAAGAGATGAGCATGCATACAAGAGATGCTATGTAAGTTTGTGTGTACACAAGTATTACTGTGACTGTAACACTTTAGGCAATCTCCCATTAATATGCTAAACCATATCAGCTTTTGAAGGGTTTGCAGATGAAACTAACATAGAGAGTTCAAATGCCTTTACAGCAGGGGTTTTCAAATTTTAAACTATGTGGAAAAAATCTTAATAAAGAGAGTGTCTCGCGAGCCTACCTCTCTCCCATTCATGATCTCATAAACTGCCTCCCTTCACCATTCACAATGACACAGACCACCTCTTGTCCCATTCACAATCAGATGGACCAGCCCCCATTTTTTTTTGCAGTCCCAGAACACGCCACTTTCATATCCCTGGTAAGGACAGCAGTTGCTTAGCTGGAAAATGTTAGGCAAATATTTTTAGCTGCTTTTAAGGAAATGTAGCAGCTTGAAATAAAAAGACAACCTGTCGGTAGGCCAGCCAGCTAGGAGCAAGCGCTCTTCAGATCACCATTATGTGGCCCATGCCTCACAGTCTGAGAACCTATGCTCTAAAGGAACTGTACAATCTCTGTGGAAGAACAGTACCATAAACAGTAACAACTACAGGGTTTATTGTATTTAAAAAATGAAATCAAATTTTAAAACCTACATTAAAATTATGTTAGGAGCATGGTAGGACTAAGGCTTCAAAATGGAAGAAATTTGGAGGTAAGGCATTTCTCTCCTTCAATAATTACTGCATTTGTATCTCAACATAGCAGGAATCTAAGAACAGTATGTGATCTTCCCTCCCTGGTGAGTATGCCCTCAGTTCAACAGACAGGGCTTCATTCTCACAATTTTCATATATTGCTCAGAGGATTGAGATGCTATGTGAAAGCAATCATGAGCAATTCTTCCTGGTTCAGCAATGCCGGCCTTTGGCAGCTGCGATTAACTTAATTGTATAGCATGCTGAAACTTTTGGGAAATAAATAAACAGTAGTCTCTCCTGTTCCATTGTGTAAAACCCAAAGCATTTGGCGCCCCCCAATGTCTTTACTGATTATTGCTGTTATTAAAGTTCTCCCTTGGGTTAAACACAGTTGTACTGCAACTTTTCTTATTACTTCCATAGCATCCATTCAGGAATGCACCAACTTCAACCATTTTGATTTTGTTTTGATTTCTGCTTATTTTCTTCAAGAGATTTTATTTTTATTGTCTAGCAAACACTTTAGTGCAAAATCGGACAGAGATGTCATCCAGAAAAATGTATAATAACTATTTGGGGTTTTCTGTGAAAACTACTTACAATGAGCTAAATCCAGAACACTTTACTAAGTTTTTATTCAGTTCTTACTTAGACAAAATGCCTATTGTGTTCAGTGAGAACTTTGTCCAAGGGCAGAGTAAAAAAGTAAAGATTTCAAAATTTTGCCCACTACATTTAATTATATCACACCTATCTAAAGCACATACAACACAGAACAGGTGAAATTCTGTCCCCATTAAAGTCAAGAGGAGTTTTGTGTAGAATATATGTACAGGGCCCTTGTGCCCTGATGTACACCCTGTTCTGTGGAGTTTATGGGGTGTAATTTGGGCTATAGACATAGAATATATGGTTATATCAGGGTAGAGAATTTATATTACCATACAAGATATAATGTACATATATTTATATATTACTTATATCTTTCACAGTCATGAACCCATTGTTGTTTATATTTGGTTGTACCTACATGCCTCAGACAAAACTGGGGTCTTACTGTTTTACAAGACTTGATTCGTAGTCAGAACAGCATCCAGTCTAATTTAAGCCATGCCATGATGGAACAAATGAATGTAATAAACAGTGGGGAGGAAGTAGCAACAGCAGTAAGAACAGCTGATTCCACAGGCTATCAGTGTGCATAATCCAAAAGTTCTAAATTAGACAAGGTTTGTCTATTTTAAGAAACAAACATCAGAAAGCTATAATTAAGATTGCAAGAGGTCTCTCACTATAATTTCTGGTTTTACTGGTTTATGACTTTTGGAAAATCTCCTTATGAGCTGAAACATTCCACGTTTAACTTCAGCCCAGAGCAATATTTTTGTTTGATATTTTCCTTGAACTTTGAAAAACAAAGGGTGGAAGGCAAAAATACACATGATTATTTTGTGGAATGGATACTTAAAAAAAAATTATGGCACTGCGAAACCAATTCCTCCACATGTGCCGAACCATTCTCAGTGAGGAGTAGTCATGGTGTGCAAAAAAATTGTAACTCCAATGGTTTGATTTTCAAAGGCCCTGAGCACCTGTAGGTCCATTGAAAGGGAGAATTGGGTGAGGGAACCGCTCTTTGAGTAGAACAGGCAGAAACAGGACACCTATTCTTTTACTGTCAAATGCTGCTGCTGCTCCATCTACTGGCAGAAAAACTAGGAGTTCATATAACTCCCTAATGAGGTTCCAACCACTTCTTCTCTTCCTTCAGATTCCCATACCTGATGATTCCTCACTTGAAAGATGAACTGGAAGGATGGGAAGGCCAACAGGGTGTTATGCTCACACATACTATCCCTAGGGTGACCAGATGTCCCATTTTTATAGGGACAGTCTCGTTTGGGGGGACTTTTTCTTATATAGGTGCCTATTACCCCCCCACCTCCTGTCCTGTTTTTTCACAGTTGCTATCTGGTCACCCTAACTACCCCTTACTTAACCTCTGCTCCTTAGGCTGCTAAATATATATAGAGAGCATGCATAATATCAGTGGTGGAGTTGCTCTAAGAACCTTAATTTTGTCATTTCCTGAATTCTGTGTGTTTTCAGTTTGCAACCTTAATACAAATTTTTGAAGTGTATGTGTGTGTAATTTGGGAGGAAATAAATGTTAAGACATTGTTTGGATGTTAAGACTTCCCAGATCATTACTAATCTACATACTGGTATTTTTCTTGATATGTCTGATTTCTAAAATAAACAGCAACTTCTTTACACACACACACACACAATGTACTTGGCCGCACTGGAGTTGGGGGAGCACTTCAATCCCATTTTAGGCCAGGATAAAAGAAAAAGTTATTACTTGGAATTACTATTATTTATTATTAATATGACACCATAAATTGGAATGATATTTTACAATGGTGTCTAGATACTATGGTGACAAGCACATTAGAAATGCCTTAATAGATACAGTGTGCCACAAATGCCAGACAAGTAGAAAGATCTCTGACCTATAAAGTCTCTAAAAGTTATGACCAAGATGTAAATTAACATGAATAGACAAGTATCAGGGGGTAGCCGTGTTAGTTTGTATTCACAGAAACAACAAGGAGTCTGGTGGCACCTTATAGACTAACAGATTTATTAGGGCATAAGCTTTCGTGGGTAAAACACTGCATCTGAAGAAGTGGTGTTTTACCCACGGAAGCTTATGCCCTAGTAAATCTGTTAGTCTTTAAGGTGCCACCAGACTCCTTGTTGTTTTTATGAATAGACAGAGTGTTAGTATGTGGCTTTTTAGAAGTTTTTGTAAAGGGTTGAAAGTGTGAACAGATTAATCAAAAAATAACATTTGCCAATCTGACTGATACAATATAGACTTTGCTCTCTTTCTCTCTCTAGCATGTAAAACTGTCACATGAATTTGAAAACTTGGTACTTCAGGATAAACGATTTGAGATCTGTGCTGAGGTCACACTGGGACTGGTATGCTTCCGACTAAAGGTAAAATAGCAATGGCTTCTAATGTTCCCTCTTGTTTTTTGAAGCTATTGATAGAATATATTGCACTGGATTACATATTGTTATAGATAACCTATTTATTTATTTTAAATTGTAGAAAACTCTTGATACACTACATAAACCAAAGAGGATCAAAGAAGCAATCTTGAGCCAGATTATCTTTTTTAGCATAAGATTAAATTTAAAGAAATCCTAGCATGTTATGGTATGGAAATGCACAGTGAAAAGGCACCTGAACAACCATAACACTGCCCTGTATTGACACTATGTAATAGCCATATGATCAATGCATTTTAGGATGTAGATTAAACTGGTTTTTAAAACCAATGTTTGTTCATAGTGTCATTATAGAGCCTGGTTAAGATTGTTTGGGTGCCAAAACTGTGTTTTGTTTTAATCTTAAATTATTGAATGCACTGTTAACCTTAGTGCCATCTTAATATGTGGAGGGCAGGTGTATTCTGGGAACTTCTTTTAGTGTGGGGTGTTTTTAATTATTAAAATGTCAATCATGAACACTAAACCAGAAACCCAAGAAAGTTACCATATGTTATTTCTTATAATTTGAAGATGAGAACCATCAACAATAAATCTTTTTTTCTTAAAACTTTTAGAGCCAGATTCATCAGTATGCTCTGGGTAACTCTGGAGCAGTAGAAAGCAACGAGTGTGCATTAACCTGTTAAATTAGGCTTATAGTTGCTTTGCATCACCAGATCGTCACATATGAGTCAAGATCAATTGGTGAATCTGGCCCTTAATTTGCAATTGGCTTAGTTATTCAGAATTCAGGATATCTTTTAAAAAACCTTTAAAATATATAATTTAATTTGGCAAATAACATTCCAGAATATGAAAGCAGAATTTTACTATTTTATATTTTATATTTAGAATTTTATATTTGAAAGAAAAAGATAATATTAACTTTTTTTTGTAAATGTGGCTATCTATAAAATCCCGGAGGCGGGCTGGACCACACTGGGACAAGATGTGAGTGATAGCATAGAGGAATATTACTGAGAGAAGAGGGTTCTGTGGTGGTGTTTAGAGTAGGGGAAAGTGTCAGGGTGTGAATGTGAGAATAAGGGGATACAGGGAGATCCAATGGCAAGGGTAGAGGGAAGAAGACCAGGGAGACATGCATGAGACATGAGTGATAGGTGGGAAATAGGCAGGGGAGTCCTGTGTTGAGGAGAACAGAGCTGTGCATGGGCAGAGGCCTGGGGTGGGGAGCTAGTATAAAGACATCCACACTTGAAAGACTTCCAGTGGCCCTTCTCTTTTGGCTCCTCTGAGTACCATACCAGTACTACAGGGGCAGTCCATTAAATCAGAGGCATCTCTCAGGGACTGGTCTCCTTCCTCACACCTTATGTCCCACCATGGGCCCCTCCTGTTTGCATAGCACCAGTCTCTGTAATGCAACCCTCATCCCCACATACAGCCGTAATTTTGCCCAGGGCAAGTCTGTTTCCCTCTCCCCCTCATACGTAGTCCACTCTCCAGACACCATAAAGCAGTACTGTGGAGAGCCAAGAAGAGGCAGGAAGTGGCCACAACATGGAAGTAAGTGAGGCCGTTAGAGGACCCGGAGGAGAATGTGGGGAGATTGAGCAGAGGGAAGCAGAGGTCCTGGGGTGGGGAAGGGGGCTGCGTTAGGGAGACAAGACTACCTTAGTGCTAGTGCCCAGTGAAGTGGAGACAGCAGTGCCATGGACAGCCTTTCAAGCACAGATATACTCAGCCAGCATGGAACCCTGGAATCTTTAAGGAGCAAGGACAGCTGGGGACAATTTATCTCCCAGTGAGAACTCTTGATGCATGAGTCCAATCTCTCTCATACCACTGACTCATTAATACCAATAGAATTGTAGCATGGAAATTAGATGTGGAGGAAGGCTGATGGTTTGCTGTTAACTCTGACATCATAGTAACTAGAGCTGTTGACCAGAATCTATTTGTACCCTATATAATTATAATTAGCGACAACAATAGTTAATAACTTAGCTTAATTACAACCTAATTTATCCAAATGTAGCCCATGCACAGTGAATTTTAACTATATGTAAAGCTTAAAGAATCTGCATTGTTTGTTAATATAGTTCAGAACAAAAAAAAGTCTGACTGAGTGCTAACTTTCTTAAAGGACCTAATTTAAATTATTATTCATAAACCAATTAACAGATTTACTTATAAACATTCAAAATTCATTCTGTACTCAGAGTAAATGCTGTACATCTGCTGTACAGAGTAAATGCTGAACACTCAGTATTCTTCATACATCATAAAAAAGGCTGCATCCCTGCTTCAAGTGCAAAACTCAATTCAGTGTTAACTAATTATGGAGCTGGAACTGGTACCTTAATGGGCTGAACTGGAACACTGAATATGAACAACACAGAGATTCCTTGTTAAAAATACTTAAATGTGGCTTTTAACTTTTCTTAAGACGAACAAGCAAGTCCAGCTTCTTTTGATGGCATGATGTTATTTTTCAGACATTCCTTTCTTGGTTGTTCAATTGTCCCAGTTACCTGGGGTTTGATGCAACTAGTTGAGGAATCAAGATGAATGCCTAACAATGAAGGTTTCAGCTGAACTGAGCTGGGGTAGTAAAGTAGTTTCTTTTGTACCTGTGCTATCAATAAAAAAGGATACCCTGCTGGTAGAACAGATGCAACATTGTGGAGTTTTTCTGATTAGCAAAGGCCTGTTAAAGTTCTGAATATTTTTTTCTTCCTAATAATAAGTTTTTCAATAGTTCTGTCATAAATATAAAGGGAAGGGTAAACATCTTTAAATCCCTCCTGGCCAGGGGAAAAACCCTTTCACCTGTAAAGGGTTAAGAAGCTAAGACAACCTTGCTGGCACCTGACCAAAATGACCAATGAGGAGACAAGATACTTTCAAAGCTGGGGGGACAAACCAGGACCAGAGCAGGAATGCAGGTCAGAACTCCTGTAAAAAGTCAGTAAGCAATCTAGTTAGATATGCGTTAGAGTCTGTTTGTTTAAATGGCTGATAAAATAAGTTGTGCTGAATGGAATGTATATTCCTGTTTCTGTATCTTTTTGTAACTTAAGATTTTGCCTAGAGGGCTTCTCTATGTTTTGAATCTGATTACCCTGTAATTCATTGTTCTTAAGATCCAAGGGTTTGGGTCTGTGTTCACCTATGCAAATTGGTGAGGATTTTTTTATCAAGCCTTCCCCAGGAAAGGGGGTGTAGGGCCTGGGGGGATTTTGGGAAGAAAGATGTTTCCAAGTGGGATCTTTCCCTTTTATATTTGTTAAACGCTTGGTGGTGGCAGCAATAAAGTCCAGGGACAAAAGGTAAAATAGTTTGTACCTTGGGGAAGTTTTAACCTAAGCTGGTAAAAATAAGCTTAGGAGTTATTTCATGCAGGTCCCCACATCTGTACCCTAGAGTTCAGGGTGGGGAAGGAACCTTGACATGGTGGCAGAGCGGTGGGATTAACTTGAAATCATTTTGAGATCAATTTGAGATTTTTTGAACCAGAAGCACAGATTTTAAAAAAGGAGGTTTTTTTCCCCTTTGGGCTGTTGGAAAGCAGGTTTTAAGCTGAAAGCCGTGAGAATTTTTTTGTCTCTGCTTGGGGGCCAGAGCAGAGACAAAAGGGAATTGTCTTTTGTGAGCTGGAGTTTTCTCTACCTAAAGGCAGGGTAGTTAACCTCCTGCAGGGAAATTCACAAGTCTTCACAGACCTGAAGAGGTGGGTTGTTGTTTGTTTGTTTGGTTTTTTGCTAAGAGCAACTAGAGGCTTTTTCTGCCTATTTGCCTGGAGAAAAAGGTGTTAGGTTTTTTTTTTTAAAAGGATCTTTCTGTAGGCTGACAATCCCTATCAGAGAACATAGGTATCCGGCTACAGCACAACCCTTTTTTTTTTTTTTTTTTTTTTTTTGGAAAAGGCAAGTTTTGTTTGTTTGTTTTATTTCTAAGTCTCGGGTGTAAAGTTAGTGAAAAACAGAGAGGCAAACATGACAGAGCCCAAGGCAGAAACAGCCAAAGAGGCTGCCCACAGGAGAGCTATGGAGACAAAGGATAAAGAATGGAAGCATGCTCAGGAGGAAAGGGAGGCTGCCCACAGGAGTGCTATGGAGGCAAGGGAAAATGAAATGGAGGAAAAGGAAAAAGAGAGGAAGCATGCTGAGATGGAGAAGGAAAAAAAGAGGAAGCATGCACTGGAGATGGCAAAGGCTGAGCGGAATCTACTGGATAACCCTAACCATCCTTCCCCAACAATCCACAAATGGGAGCGACTATGTCCACAGTATGATGAATCCAGTGATATTGCTGAATATTTTCTCACCTTTGAGAGACTGTGCACTCTCCATAAAATTCCTGAAGCTCACAAGATGACCACAATGGTCGCAAAGTTAACTGGAAGAGCTCTGGACATATTCAATAAGATGCCTATTGATGAGGCTTCTGACTATAATAAGTTCAAGGATTTGGTTTTAAAGCAATTTCAAATTACATCTGAAACGTACAGAGTAAAATTTCGAACCCTTAAGAAAGGGCCTGGACTAAGTAATGTGGCTTATCTAAACCAGATGAAGGATCTGTTAGATAAATGGGTCCAAGGAAGGAGTGTCACTAGCTTTGACGGAATGTGTGATTTGATAGCTCAGGAGCAATTCCTGACTATGTCCAAGGAGGAAATAAAACAGTGTTTATGGGATAAGGAAATGGACTCAGCAGAAAGTCTTGTTTCTTATGCTGATCAATACGAGCAGTCCCAGACCTCCAGAGAGGCGGGGCAAGCCGGAACAAAATGGGTGGAGGGAGGAGAGAGGAACAACCCTGGTCGCAGTTGGAGTGGATACCAGAAGGGACATCCTCAGACCACCCCCTACTACCGGGGGCAGCCCAAGGCCCCAGCTACACACCAAGGAATACTCCAGACACCTTATCATCCTGCCACACCATTCTCCAGCAACTCACCTCGTCCCAGTGACCCG